TGATTGGAGGATAATTGCCATACAATATAGTATTGGTTTCTGCCATAGAAAAGGCACATCAGCCATAATTATACATATATCACCTCCCTCCCCTCCCCTCATCCCACCCATCTAGGTTATCACAGAGCAGCAAACTGGCTCCTGTGCTATGTTCCAACTTCTCACCAGCTGTCTATCTCACAAATGGTAGCGTATACATGTCAATACTACTTTCACCATTTGCCCCATTCTTTCTTCCCCTATAATTTTGCTCTCAAGAAACAGTATATCCCTCAAAGAAAGTGAAGGACATTCTTTTATTGTCTTTTGGAAATAAGATATATCTTTATGCCTGTGATGTTCTATTTTTCAACCCACTGTGGTAAGTGACCAGCTCATAAACAGTTCTTGAGTACCTACTAAGTACGAGGTGCTATATTATGTCCTGAGGAGTACACAAAATTTAATGACATGATCTTTGACCCCAAGTAGTTGAAATTCTCATCAACAGCTTTTAAAGTGAATTTTACAGTATGATATATTATAAAGTAAGTAACTTTTGGAGGCTGATCTTGGTTCATATCATACCATCTTACTATCTTTGTGACTTGGGGAAACCGATGCAATTTCTCCAAACCTCAGTTTCCTTGTATGTAAAATGTGGACAGTAATGCCTCCCTCAGGAATCTTATGATGAGGTGAGGATAATGCAATAATCTTAGTAAAGCACCTTGCACTGGGCTTTGTTCATGGTAAATACTCAATAACGGGCAGATTTGTTACCTAATATATTAATATAAAGCCAAGATGTGGAATCTATAAAACAGGGATAAAGTTCCTATCTCATTTGGCTGTGGTAAGGGTTCAATGGGATTATACACATAATGCAGTCAACAAGGTGTCTAGATCATTCCCTGTGCTCAAGAAAGAGCAATTATTACAACTCATGAAGCACTTCATAATTGCCTGTTGTCAGACAAAAATAGGTGGGTAAATAGTCCAGGTATAACTAGCGGAAGGTGAGATCCTAACTTGAGTCTCTAGAAGTTTGTCAGAGCAATTAATTTCCATTAATTCTCTTTTTAAAGTAAAATTTCAGTAAACATTCCTATCTCTCTGGCTTTGAAGAAGCTGTTAGGGATTACTTACTACTTTGGAAACTCAGCAGTTTAACCAAGAAGAGTGTAGGGAATTGTTAATCAATAAACAACAATAACAAAAGTCAGGGGCAGAAAACATTCAAAAGGAAGAATATCAGGTATAATGCTGGCATGATCAATAGAGCAAATTTTGCCTGTAAGCAAGATGGCACAGGTAAAATTCTAAATTTGGACCCAACAGGGTCCAAACTGACAATTCATATTTGAATAAAATGACAAAACTCTTATTATAAAGGAACCACTTTTTAAATGCAGTGTTTTTACTGATTTCATGTGATTTAAAATATCGCTTTACCAAATATTTTACTGATAGATGAAATGGCAAACAAAAACATGCCCATTTCTTTTAGACTGACTTTTACCTTCTAATATTAATCTCAACAGCAGTGCTTTTAATCTTTTGGGGGGTCATAAACCTCTTTTGAGAATCTGATAAAAGCTATGGATCCCCCTGTCCAAAACTCACACCTGTACACCCAATTCTGCAAATATCTTCAAGAAATTCACAGACCACCTAAAACCCATGCTTGAGCTCCAGATTAAGAACTCATTTTTCCATAGTGAGTTTTGAAGTTCTCAGCGGCTTGAGTTTTTATATCCGATTGCTGACCGGAATCAAAGGCTACACGGAATTTATAAAATGACAAGTGAATTTGAATGAGAGTATAATGATCCACAGCCTACTAGGTAATTTAATTAACATGCTGAGTAATTTATCACCATTTCTTCACATCGCTGATTATTTTGCTAAAGGATAAAGCTGTGATTTGTTCCCCTAACTGGGGAGTTGAGGAGGTGCAGACACTTTTGAAACTTCTATTTTCCTTCCAATTCCATTTCCCAGTGCTGCCCTTTTGTTCAAACACCCTTCCTGGCCTTTCCTGTGCCCAGCGTGGTTTTATGTATCTCTCCTCTATATTTTGTCTGGAACACAGTTCTTACCATGTGGTGCTGGAATGATTGGTCTTCCTAATTAGATATGAGAACCCCTTCCCCACCCCCAGGATTGGCATCTGTCAGTAACAACAGCTATCACTTATATGTAGGAGCTGCTGTATGCTAGTCACTATGCTAAGCCAACTGACTTAACCTTCACATCTGAAAAGATGAATAAATCGAGGTGTTCTTTTTACCGGCTCCACCCCCACCAAGAGGTCATTGCCAGTTTCCTAACTGGCCTTCCTGATCCCTCCCTGTGTGGTTCAAACCCTAAGTCAGAATGTGGCCCTCCTCTGCTCAAAATCTCCTAATGGGCCCCATTTCGCTTACAATAAAGTCCACTACTTACCATGCCTGCAAAGTCTTAGCAACTTTGTTCCTGGCTACCTCTAACCTCATCTCCTATCATCTACCCTCTCATTCTGTTTAGCCACCCTGGCTGCCTTGATGTTCCTCAAAATGATCAAGCACACGCCTAAGTGCAGGGCCTTTGCACTTTCTGCTCCTTCTTCCCAGTAGCGTGCTGGTAAATATTTAACAAGTGGCTCTCTGGGGAAAAAAACAAAATTCTGACTTGCAGCATTTTCTGATTTCTGTGTATAAATGCTCTCATCCTGGCTGCTTTCAAGGTACAAACTTCACTGAACATAGAATTGGGAAGAGATGCGTGTGATTAGAACAAGTGTGGGCTAGAGCCAGTACGCCACTGCCTCTTTTTGAAACTTGCCCCACACACCATCTCCTAACAGGCTGCCTCATCTTCTCCAGGTCTCTGCTCAAACATCATCTCAGTGGAGGTCCATTCGCTGATCACTCTTCCTAAAATAGCACATTAGATTCCCACCTCCACACCTTATTTGTCCTCTCATTTTGTTATTTGCCTTCTCCTGCCTTGTTTTTGCAGCACCTATCACCACCTGGCATATAGTTATTAATCATCGATCTCTTCCCATTAGAACTTAAGCTTTGTGAACAGGGGCTTTTGTTCAATGCTGTATCTCCAGTATCTAACACATAGGAGGAGTTCAATAAATATTTGTTTTCAAATGAAGGAGGTTAAGTAACCTGCCCAGATCAAACAGCTATTTGGTGACAGAGCAGGTACTCAAGCAATGAAGCTCAAAGTCTTTTAACCAAGCTAAGATCCCGTTGTTGCCATAACCAAATCAAACCCTGGGAAATGAATAGTAGGCATGTGTTAAATATTTATCAAACTCAAAGCTAAACTGAGTGGAACATGAACTGTGAGAGTTTTTGTGGAAAGGTCAAGAGACAGGGCGGGGAAACAAATTGGTTTCCCTATACCTGCCTTTTTAAGAAAACAGAAGCTCTCAAGGGAACCTGGTATAGAAGTAGGTTATCAGATATGAACATGATTGAAAGGATGAATTATTATGATTATTACTATTATGCAAATAATACCTAAGTGGATTTTTAATGATTAAGTCACACCTTATTTTGTGAAAATAATGAGAAGGTAAGATTCAACCACTCTCCACAAATAACCAGATGATATCTGAAATTATTCCAGATTTTTTTCTATGAATATACTTTTTTTAAAGAACTAGTATATACTGTACATAACTTTACCTGCTATTTTCAATTAAAAATATGTAACCATCTTTCTATGTCAATAAACATACCTCTACATATGTTCATTGGCTTTAATTCAACTTGTTCTCTTATTGTTGGACATTTATATTTGCTCTTTGACTGTTTTTTGCCACCACTGTATTTTTCTTATAGCATAACACCTCACACTTATCAAACACTGTTCTAAGCACGTGATAGGTATTAAGTCATTCATTTCTTATTAGTACTAAAACCTCATATGGGAGATACTATTATTCCCATTTTACAAAGGGAAAATCTAAGATAAGTGGCTGCGCTGGGATCGATCCCGCTTCAGAGCCTATGCTTGTGGCTTTGGGACTGGCAGACCAATAATGGCAGCGTGTGGCTGACTGAACTGGAAATGTGGCTCCACCACTTAAGTTGCACGGGGTCTTAGTTGCGGCACATGCAATCTAACTCCTGGACCAGGGATTGAACCCAGGCCCCTTGGACTGGAAGGAGAGTCAGCCATTGGCCCACCAGGGAAGTCTCTCCACCACTTGCCTATTGGGAGGCTTTACAATTTTTGCTCTGTGTCTCCCTGTACTTTTTTCTTTCAATCTGTGAAGTAGGTAGAAGAGCATCTCATAAGGTAGTGGTCTTTTTTTAAAAAACAAAACAAAACAAAAAAAATTCACTATCACAAAATTAGAAATCCAGTGATAGCTTTGTCAAGTTATTTGATGCGTAATTCAGTGATGTTCCTCGCTTCTCTGTGCTCCCCTTGGCATGCTGACTGTGGCTCCAGGTATGCCCACTAGGTCAGAGTGGCAAGAGCCACATCCAACCACAAGATATCCATGGTTCCAAAGGAGGAGCCAATTTTTCATGTGCTTCCTTCTTAGGAATAAGAAATCCTTTTCTTTCCAGAAAGTCTACTAACAAGACTTGGCTTGTGCCTCTTTGGGAAGGTTGTCACATACCCATCCCCAAGCCAATCACTGCAAGGATTTTCCATGAACAAATGGTGGAGAAAGTGAAAGTGTTATCACTCAGTCGTATCCAACTCTTTGTGACCCCATGGACAGTAGCCTGCCAGGTTCCTCTGCCCGTGGAATTCTCCAGGCAAGAATACTGGCAAAAGTGGGTTGCCATTCTTTCTCCAGGGTATCTTTCCAACCCAGGGGTGGAACCCAGGTCTCCTGCATTGCAGACAGATTCTTTACTCTCTGAGCCACCAGGGGAGTCCACATGGTGGGGAGTCACCCACAAAGATTCCAGCATTAAACTCTGGGGAAAAGTCTACTAGTCAGTAAGACAAAAGACAATAGTAAACCTGTCTTTCTTCAGGACTGGCGACCACTGATGTTTAAGATGTATTACTTTATTGATGTCAAGAGGAAAAAAAAATTTTTTTTCATGAACATTCATTGTACATTCTGAGTGAAAGGCACCATGCCAGGCACTGAGGGAAATACAAATGAAAGACTCAATCTCTCTTGTCTTTTCTGCCACAGCAGCAGACTCGGGCACAGGAATACAAGCTACTTGGCAAGGCAGTTTTATTTTTTTATAAATACCACATCTGATGCACAAAGTATTATGAGGATAGAGGAGATTCAATAAGAATATTTTTGCTTCCAAGACCATTACATCCAATTACCCAGTTTATGACTGTCAAACAGCCACAAATAGATAACACACAAGGTTAAAGAGAACATTTCAGCAGCCTTAGCGGGAACAAGACTGTTCAAACAGCAGCTGTCACCTTACACCTAAGAATCAGGCCAAGGATGCACAGGGTCAGACCAACCAAGGCATGACAGGGACTCGGCTTCCAAGAGACTGTAAAGCAAGCTGCTTACACACAAAACAGCTCTTTCACTGAGGTATAACATACACAGTGCACAGATGTTAAATGTGTAACTCGATAAATTTTTCTGTGTGTGAGAGTGCTGGTAGCTCATAAAACACTCAGAATAGTGGCAGGCACACAAAAAGGTTAAGTACTAGTTAAGTACTAGCTGGTGTTTCATCTGCCACTTCAACAGGTAAAAAAATACCACCTTAGTTTTATTTGCATTTCTTTGAGAAATGGGACTGAACATTTTTTCCCTGTGAATTATCTGCTCACGTCTATTGAGATTATTAGTCTTTTTATTTTTTTACTATTTTTTAAGAGCCCATTTTATATTAATAACACTCATTCTTTGACTTTTATTGCAAATATTTTCCCCAATTTGTCCCTTGACTTTAGTACATGGTATGAGCCTAGATTCTAACTTTGTTTAAAAACAGCCATCCCTGACACTGTGTATTAAATAATGGATCCAATTTACACTTACTTAAAAGGACAACCCTATCACATATTAGATTTTTTTTCCCTCCAATGTCATAAGACTGTCCAGAGAACTGAATTTAGGTGACTTCTTCAACTGCAGAGAACACTTAGTTGTATTATATGAGATAGCCACGGAAGGGGAGAAACACTAAAATTCTACATACTAGTATGTAATTCTACACTGACTAGTCTCTTTCACTAACCAGTCTATTTCTACTTAGGTGTGCATTTCTGGTGAACTCACACCTTCATATCCCCATGGATACCATGGCTTTAAATGTCCTGTACACCCCCCATATACCTGTTGATTCATTTATCTACATCATTCAGTGCCTACTGTGTACCATGCACCACGGTAAGGAGTGAACCAGACAAATGCAACTCTTCCCACAATGTGGCATAAATGTTAGCTGGTAGAAGACATTACTTAAATATTTGTTAATTTATTTAAATAAATATTTACACCAATAATTCATCACAGCTGTGTTTGGTGCTACAAGGGACAACATGGTATCTTTTCTAGCTGAGAAATCTGGTTTCCAGATCTGTTCACTCTGCACACTTTTAAGGCACAGCCCGGGTTCCAATTTCCAATGGGAAATAACAGAAAGAACCTGGAGAATTATCTTCAGAGTATTCACAAGGATAAGGTGAGGAGTAAGAAAAAAAACAGTTAAAAAAAAAACCCTAAAACATTAGGGAAGAAAGTTCCATCAGCTCAATGCACTTGGAGACATTCCTTTAAATTCTCTAGTTTACATCCTGAGCAAAGCCAGTTCCATGGCAAATAAGATCCCACACAAGTTTAATAAGGTCAAGAATAAGGCAGAAAGGAGACTCCAAAGTAGGATCATTTTGCCTTTTGAAAGGGAAAACCAAGTACTATCTTTTCATGTACTGTGCCCTATTTTTCCTGGGGTGTCCCTATTCTCTACGATGAACAGATTTCAAAACTGGGCAACTGTGAGGAATAATTTCAATAGTTGAAACAAACAAAAACATTGCTTTATGAGAAAAAGAAAAAACAAAACTAAAAAAGCAAATTCTACATACAATTCAGAGAACTGAACTTAGATGACTTCTTGAACTGTACTGAACACCGAGTTGTATTGTATGAGACAGCCATGGCAAGGGAGAAATATAAAAATTCTACATGCTAGTATGTAATAAGGGGCTGCAGAGTCATCGACAGTGATTAAACCACAGAACACCAGTTTTCCAGCTCAAACTGGAAAGGAATTTTTTTTTTTTTTAATGAAAGTAGATATGTCTGAGGGTGGCTAAATGTAAGTAATTATTTTCTTTGTAAAAAACCTCTTTAAAAGATTTCTCCCTCATTGACCCCATTTTGATGGTAATAAATAAATCTGACTTTATAATAACTTAAAAAATAAAAACCAACCTAGGTTGTTTTATCTAAGTGGACAATTTAAAGTAAAAATGAACAGGTGATATGTATTTTTACCTTAAAATAAGTTTGAGATTTCTGAAGTCTATGCTATGAAGAAGAATGCCAACAAACTCACTCATTACTATACATAAAATTAAGCTTTCTAAACACAATCTCTTTAGCATGAAATCAAATACAGTGTGCTCTGAGAGGATCTCCAAATGCTATCTCTTCTAGGTCTTTAAAAGCCAGCTTCTGTTTCTCCAAGAAACAAAGTACATTCAATATTGCAAAAAAGCACCATAGTATCTGAAATGCAAAACAAGTAGTGAGTCACACTCTTTTCCATAGAATTAGCAGGCATCTATCACCTGTTTCTCAGATCACTTATTTTCCTGTTTTTCTTTGTTTTCACTAGCAGAACCGTCCAGAACCTCTATCTTGCCTTTTCCGTCTTCTGAATGAGGAAGCTTAATATTATCTATGGTGACTTCACCTTCAGAAGAGATGCTGTCACCTTCATCCTCAGATTCTGAACTTTCTTCTGAACTGTCTTGTGAATTCTCTTCCGAACTGTCCTCTTCTTTCGAATGAGACTGATTCATCTCAAACAAGGCCACGTCCTGAAAGTAAAAAAAACACACCATGTGGGAGATTTATTTTGGGCGAGTTCACTAGAGAGTTATAAAAACAACTTTGGGAACAACGACCAACACTTAGAACAAATACTGAAGCACAGAACAAATACTGAAGGACAGAAGACAGGAAATGTTTTTAATACAATACGGAACTATTATTCTTTCAGTTGCCAGGGTCTGGCCTAAGGATTTACTTTTATTACAAGTCTAAAAAGTTCCTCACAACTGAAATCTATATAGCTGAATCTATTCAACAAAACTCACTCAACAAATATTAACAAATGCCAACATTAACCGGGCACCACATTAGAATCTCAACAACAACAACAAAATCCTTGCCTTTGTGGAACTTATGTTTTTGAGCAGGAGCTGGCAAACCATGGCCTGCAGGGCAAACCCAGCCCCCTGCCTGTTTTCATGCAGCTCATGAACTAAGAATGCTTTTACGTTTTGAGTGGTAGAAAAAAAAAAAGAATAGTATTTCATGAAATGCAAAAATTATATGAAATTCAAATTTTGGATTCCATAAAAAGTTTGTAAAACGTGCCTACTCATTACGTATTATCTACAGCTGTCTTTGGGGCTTCACAGGTGGCGCTGGTAGTAAAGAACCTGCCTGCTAATGCAGGTGATGTAAGAGATGTGGGTTAAACCTCTCGGTGGGGAAGATCCCCTGGAGGAGGGCATGGCAACCCACTTTAGTATTCTTGCCTGGAGGATCTCATGGACAAAGGAGCCTGGCAGGCTATAGTCCATAGGGTTGCAAAGCGTTGGACAACTGAAGCGACTTAGTGAGTGAGTGTGCGTGCGCGCGCACACACACACCTGTCTTCACATGGAAATGGCAGGAATAAACAGTCATAATGGAGACAGTGTGGTCCACAAAGCCTAACGTTATTTACTATCTGGCTCCCTACATACAATGGCTGCTGACCTCTGTTCTAGTTAAGAAACAGGTTTTCTGGTGGTCCCGTGGGCCCACGCTCCCAATGCAGGGGGCCTGACTTTGATCCCTGGTCGGGGAACTAAATCCCACATGCTGCCACTAAAAGCCTAAGAGCTGGTATAGCCAAATAAGTAAATGTATCTTTTTTAAAAGGCAATAAACAATTACTCAGAAAGCACAGTGTAGGGCAGTGAAAAGTTAAAAAAGAAAACAAGAAGAAAGCAAGCCACTGAGGTGACATGTGATGAAAGATGGAGGAATTTGGGGATGGGATTTTACAAAGAGGGAAAAGGCCCAGAGCAAGGAGATGGAGGCTGGAGTACAATCAGTGAGGGTCCTTGGTGAGAGAGAAGGTCAATGGAGAGACGGAGGCAGGATCACACTGGCCCATGGAGGACTCTGAATTAATCAGAAATGTAACGGGAAGCCCCCTGGTTCCCAAACTGGGGGCCACATGCAATGTGTCAAGAACAAACTCTGGGGAAAAAAAGTGGAAGCAGAAAGCCTGACTAGGAAATTCCTGGGATAATCCAGAGGGGAGACTATCTTCACCTAGAGTGAGGGTCGTGAGTGCCGAGCGGGAGTGGGTTGATTCAGGACGTATTCTAGACGCAGAGCTGCCATATCTGCTGATCAATCAGGTATATGATTATTAAAAGTGGTGTCAGCTCTGTCCAGACACGAGTGTTATAAAGGGGATTTCAGTGCAGAAATAAAGAGGAGCCCAAAGTGAGACAATTTTCACACCTGAGTTATATAATCAGTTTTTCTGTTACACACATTGTTTATTTTTGCATTCTCAACGATTCAGACTCTGATTACCTCTTTTGGGCCTTGAATGGGAAAATTTTAAAAAACTCGGGATACTTAGTATATAAATGCTTCTAGATAACACATGTGTTATTGGAGTTGAAAAAGCCTTTCTATGATTCTGAATGACTAAATTCCTAGACTTCACTCAGGGAAGCTTGCTGACTTTCGAGGTTATTAGGATTAAATAATTCGGTCATTTAACCATCCAATGACTGAGCACCTGTGCAGTACTGGAAACATGAGCTGAATTTGCAAGAAGGAAAATAACATTTGGAATTAAAATTCAAAGGTTCTCTTTTTCAGGTGATGACACATATTGTTTATTTTATATGATGAAATGAAAACAAGGCATAGTTACCATTTGAATAACTTGTCCAAGAGTCTCATCAGTATTTTCAATATTGAAATGACCAGGTTGAGCAGTTGCCATTTCTTTTCTTAGCTTTTCATTTGCCTGAGCCATCTGTGGGAGAAAGGTCCGTACTTGGTCCAGCACTGAGGAGCGAAAATATCATTTATCAATATTTATGTCAGTCTCTGGCCAAACTTTTAAAGTCCAGAATTTCTATCAAAACACTTCTCAATTTGACAGGAATACTAACAATTCAATAAAAAAGCATTCAAATTCCTTCTATTTTAAAACTTTTCATTCTCTTCTGAATTCTTAAAATGCTGGGCTTCCCTGGTGGCTCAGGCAGTAAAGAATCTGCCTGCAACACAGGAGACCTGGGTTCGATGCCTGGGTCAGGAAGATCTCCTGGAGAAGGGAATGGTTACCCACGCCAGTATTCTTGTCTGGGGAATTCCTCTGTCCATGGAAAACAGCATGGACTGTACAATTCAGCAATTATTTCTCAATGTTTCATGTTTGTCATATATGCTCAAAGCTGAAAATTCCTAGAAGAGTGGCATTCAACAGACAGTAACTGAATAAGTAGGCAGTAGGACTTAATAGTTAAATGCATGAGGCTCCAAGGCTTTGGGGTCAGACTGATGAGGTTCTTCACAGAGCCCCAGTTCCACGTCTCACTATCTGAGTTACCTGGGGCAGGTTAATGAAGCAATGGACGTTAATGAAGCCCCACATCTGTTTCCCTTTCTTCTGATAATGATGACTTTTCTTAAGCTCTGTCACTCTTAGTCACTCTGGTCCCTTCCCAGTCCATGCCTATGTATTCCACAACCTTGGCCACTATGATTTGGTCTCATGACACTGTGATCTGGCAAGCCAATTAGAGACCACCCTGGGACTCTGTTTTGGACTGTTGAGAAAGATGTCCATTCTTTCAGAGTCAATGACTAGGTGAGTTGCTGAATGTAAACCTAGAGTTGCTGATAAACTGGCCCACCTACCACCCATCATCAGGGAAGAGCTGGTTCTAGATAAAGTCAACACCAGGAAGGCAGAGCTAAGAGATATAGAGTGGCAGATGCCAGATGACGCTGAGCACCTGGATTCAGATGTACCTGAAATCACTGGGGGTATTTTTCCCCAACAAATGAGCCAACATCAGCTGGCTAAAGGCAACTGGAGCTGGGTTTCATTCATGTGCAACCACAGGAGTCTAATACATTTAATTTAGCCAATCAAAACCTCAGTTTACCCATCTGTAAAACAGGGGTAGTAACTATCAGGTACTGTGCTAAGCACAGGGGGACAACGATCAGGGATACGTCATTTACTGAGTTAGCTCTCAGGACAGGCCCAGCATATACCCATGCACATCATGAACTCTCAGAACTTGTTAGGTCACTGATACAGCCATGTAACAGTGGACTAAAATGTTCAGAGCATGGAAGAAGAAAATGGAGGTGAAGGTCAAGAAATGGCCTTGAATTGTCAAACAGGACTGCTAGAAGGATTCCAGATGGTATACCCAACTTGGAAAATAATTTGATGGTCTTTTCTCTATTAAAAAATACACTGTGGGGACTTCCCTTGGGATCCAGTGGTTGAGGCACCATGCTTCCAATGCAGGGGGTGACAGTTCCACCCCTGGTTGGGGAACTAAGATCCCACATGATGGGTGGCATGGCCAAAATACTAAAAAATAAAAATTCTTAAAATTCCACTCAGAAATATGTACCCTCCAAAAATATATACCTATGTCCACACAAAAACTTATATCTGAATGGGGAGCCACCATGCAATCATTTCAGCTGTTGCACATTTAGTGCATATTTAACTTCCCCTCGACTACTCACGATTTTGTAGTTTATAGACATGATAAAATAACCTCATGTATCATTTACACCACTTTTACTAATTCTTTATTTTTTTTTAAACATTAAGAGGGAATTACACAGATGCCAAGTATTACATTATGCTATCTGAACAAAGTCTGACTCACCTATATTTAGAGTATGTGGTACAGCAATATCACAGAGTAATTAATAAAAAGAACTGGCCCTGTTAAGAGTAACGTTTACCATTTAAGTAACTGTGTCCAATTTAATCAAATATGGTGATGTTTTCCCACATCTGTGTGTGAAATTCGGGACTCAGTAACCTCTGGAAAAATTTCCCATGGAGTTTAACAATTTTTGATTTCCAAAAATCCATCCCACAGGTTTTTCTGGGCAAGGTTACCCTCTTAAGTGTTAGTCACTCAGTCGTGTCTGACTCTTTGCGACCCCAAGGACTGCAGCCTGCCAGGCTCCTCTGTCCATAAGATTCTCCAGGCAAGAATACTGGAGTGGGTTGCCAGTCTTGTCTCCAGGGAATCTTCCCAACCCAGGAATCGAACCCAAGTCTCCTGCCTGGTCTAACCCCCATCCTCTTAAAGCAGGGGAATAATACAAGAAATTTTACCCCTGTGCACTGAACTCACGATGTAATTTCCAAGTAAGTCTTGCTAGACTGGACTCTGACAACAAAAGCAGACACTGTCCCAACAAAGAAGTGATTAATTAGGCAGAATTTCACATCAGAAAGGGTTCTTGAGAGAGAGGAGAGGGAAGGGTACTTACAGGGACTCCTCTCTATCCGAACTGTTTGAAGAGTAGAATTCTTTCTGGAATTAGGCTTGGGGTTGATGAGCAACCTGTCCCATATACCTGAAAACACAGACACACACACACACTTCCTTTATTACAGCACAGAGAGACAGGAGCCCAAGAGCAAACTTTCCTAGACCACCCTCCACCCTCAAGTCTTGACTGTTCCTTCCTCACTTTCTAACACATTAAAAAAAATAAAAAGGAGCACTCCAAGTTCCATTACAACATTTTAGTTCTTTCTGCAGATCTCCCCCCTTTAAACCTGTCTCTTACATCTCCGCCTCACCAATGCCAGGTAATAAATGCCCACTAAACTGCACCTTTCTGGGCCAGAAATCTACCAGCAACAAATGTAGGTCGGCAATGACAGAATGCAGGAAGCAGTACAGAGTACATAAGGGTTAAGCAAAGCCAGAAATGGTTTACCAGCTACATTATACTGGGCAAATCACCTACATTTTTGAGTATTAATTTCTTCATTTATAGAACATCTCTGCCTGGTAAGTTCCCTTTCAGTCAAGATGTCTGATGTAGACAAAACAGCCCTTTAAAGAGAACTCCTTTAGTATTTTCACAGCTCCTCAAATCAACCCAACTCTCCAGCCCATCAGAGCACAGAGAACAGGACTCACCTTTCAAAACCCAAGGCTTTATGCACCCTGGTTCCCACACCTGGCAAATCTCTTCACTCTGGTATAAAAATCCTGTTCACCCTCAAAGCAGCAGCTCAACACTCCTAGCTTACTATCTAGCTTATACCTAAAAGTTGGATTAGTGAAAAGAGCATGGACACTGGGGCCACACCGACTGGACTCAAATCCCAGTTTTGTCAGTTTCCAGCCACACAACCTCCAACAAGTTACTTATCTGTATGATACAACAGGTCTCCATTTCCTCATCTATACAACTGCCCTAACAGAACCAACTCCACACAGGGCAGCTGTGTGGATTAAATTTAGCGAATTAATTCCTGGGGCAGAGTAGGCACCAAGAAGCTCCAGCCATTATTATAATGTCTTCGGATGCTCTGGATTCTCACAGAATCTTTTTTCAAGTTAATATTTAATGAGGATATGCCCAAGACATTACACTCATTCTTCTTCTCAGGAAAAAAAAAAAAAAAACTATAGGTACCAGTACTTCCATTTTCCAAATGTAAAAACTGAGGCACTGGGGATGAAAACAACTCTCCTACTATGGTGCTGAAGACTTCTGAGAGCACCTTGGACTGCAAAGAGATCAAAGCAGTCAATCCTAAAGGAAATCGACACTGAAATACTCATTGGAAGGACTGACGCTGAAGTTGAAGCTCCAATATTTTGGCCACCTGATGTGAAGAGCCCGACTCACTGGAAAAGACCCTGATGCTGGGAAAGACTGAGGGCAGGAGGAGAAGAGGGCAACAGAGGATGAGATGGTTGGATGGCATCATCCACTCAACGGACATGAGTTTCAGGAAACTCTGGGAGACAGTGAAGGACAGGGAAGCCTGGAGTGCTGCAGTCCATAGGGTCGCAAAGCGTCGGACAATGAGCCACAAAAAAGTTCCACAGCTGGTTCGGATCTTCCTTGAGCTGGCCATCTGTTCTAACAGCGTCTCCCATTCGAATGAACTTTATTCTCCTCCAACAGAGCCCCCCTCCAAAAAAAGTTCGACATCTAATTACTCGTGGGGTTGGGATTCGAACCCTAGCTTTTCTTAGCTCTCTATTATGATGTCTAAAAAGCTATGAGGGTTTCCCGGATGCGTCTCCCTCTACCAGAGGAGGGCACTAAGGGTGGCTCCGTGAGCATCTGCAGAGAGAGGGTGCTCATTCCATAATACTCACCTGCTCCCCTTACTAGCCAGCTGCTGGAACCCAGGCCTGATTCTAAGGCCGTCCCCTTGGGCGGGGGAAGGTCGTGCTGCGGCGCTCAGCACCGGGCACTCAGCACTGTGCCTAAAACATGAACCACCCTCGGGCTAGAGGCCGGATGCCCACACCCAGGCCGGCCAGTCCCCCAACCCCGCAGCCGGAGGCCTGTCCGGGTCCCTCGGCGGTGCAGGCGCTAGGCAGGGAGCCCCCGACCCGCCGCTCCAGCAGCGCCGCCCCCAGCTGCACGTGCGCGCCCCACGCCGCTGCCTCCCACCCGTCCGTCACCTCCGCGGCCGCCGCTCCCCGCCACCAGCAACTCCTTGGAGACCGAGACCCCGGAGCCATCCCGGGAGGACGACGAACAGCTCGGGCCGGACTGGGACTCGCCGCGGACCTCCATGCTGCTCGCTGGTCTTCAGAGCCGCCTCTCCGAGCCCGGATGCAGGAAAAAGGCTGGGTAGGAGGCGGGGCCAGGGCTGCGATTGGAGGAAACTCGTAGGAGGGGCGAGGGGCAGGGCGAGCAAGGCCGCGGCGAGGGCGGCGCCTGGCGGAGCGAGGAGGCCATTCCTATCCTGAGAAAAGGCAGGTGGGGGCTCTAGAGATACTGTGATTGGATGAAAGAGCTAGCAAGGCTGGATTTAAAACTGAAGAGCGCACCAAGGAGGCTGCCCTCCTCTTCAAACCTCTGTGACGTAGAGCACGCTTTGACGGTCCAGTGGTTAATTAAGACTTGGCCTTCCAGTTCAGGGGGTATAGGTTGGATTCCCGGTCTGGGAGCTGAGGTCCTACATGCCTTCCAGCCACAAAAACCAAAATATAAAACAGAAGCAATATTATAACAATTTCAATAAAGACTTTAATAATGACCCACATCAAAAAGAAATCTTAAAAAAAAAGAACATATAATCCTAACTGTTTTTATGGGCATAGTTCAGAAGTGTTAACTGTTTACATTGTTATGTAACAGATCTGTAGAATTTTTGCAAAACTGAAACTCTATATTCATTGAGCAACGCGCCCCCCCGCCCCATGATTGCGTCCTGCCTCCACCATTCTAATTTCTGTCTCTGTGAGTTTAACTACTTCAGATATTTCATAGAAGCGAAATCATACAAAATTTGTCTTTTCTTGACTGGCAAATTTCACTTAGTATAATGTTCTCAAAGTTTATCCATGTTGTGGCAAGTAATAGGATTCCCATCTTTTTAAAGACTGACTAGTATTCCATTCCATGCATATACCACACTTTACCCATTTCATCCCTTGGTAGGTGTTTGGGTTGCTTCCTCCCAGATATCCTGAACAATGAGGCAGTGAACATAGATATGCAAATATATCTTCCAGATACTGCTTTCAATTCTTTTTGTTTAATATTTATCTATTTGGCTCTGCCAGGTCCTAGTTGTGGCATGTAGGATCTTCCATCTTCATTGCAGCATATGGGATCTAGTTCCCTGACTAGAAATCAAACATGGGCCCCCTGCATTGGAAGCATGGAATCTTAGCCACTGGACCACCAGGGAAGTCCCTGCTTTCAATTTGTTTGGATATATTATACCCAGAAGTGTAATTACTGACTATATTGTAATTCTATTTTGAACTTTTTAAGAACCTTCAGTGTGTTTCCATAGTGATTGCACTATCTTATTCCTACCACTAGGGCATAGGGCTCCAGTTTCTCCACATCCTCATCAATGTTTATTTGCTTTTTCTTTCTTTCTTTTTTCTTTTTTTTAATAGTGGCCATCCTAGTTGGTGTGAGGTGATAACTCACTGTAATTTAGATTTGCAATTCTCTAATAATACAATAGTGATGTTGAGCATGTTTTCATGTGTCCATTGGCCATTTGTGTATCTACTTTGCAGAAATGTGTATTCACATCCACTGCCTGTTTTAATTCAGGTTGCTTTGTTGGTGTTGAATTGTACGAGTTATTTATATTTTCTTATCAGATATATGATAATATTTTAGAGACATAGACCATTATGAACATACAAGAACTCAGGAAATATTGCTCCCAAACCCTCCTTGAAGAATTTCCTAGAAAATATGATTCAGAAAATAATTGGAGAAATGCAACTTAAGTTTTGGTAGTAAGCATTTTACAGTAGAATTGGGAGAAAACAGTGAGAATAAGGTTGAAAGAATAGTCTTTAATTTTTATAGTTTTGATAGTGTGGATATAAGACAAAAAAGGGGGAAAAAGCAGAGACTATATAGTAAGAGGAAATCTGACTTTTTAAACAGTTTGAATAAAAGGATAATATTTTAAGTTAGACATTGGGGGTATTGGAGAGATGAGAAAGAGGAGGTTACTTGTAAGTTACAATGTTGTTCATGGTAAGAAGACAATATCAAAATAAAAGGGGACTGAGTGGTATTGAGTGGTACTGAGTGGTATTATTAGGACAAAATAAAATTATTCATAAATATAAAAATTAATAAGATAGAAAGAAAAGAATTCAGGCTCTTTCCCCTAAAAGGAAACAAAAAGATACTTTATAATGCTAAATATAAAAATAATGCTAAATACTAGAATCTGCAAAGAGGAAACTATCATTAATATCCATGTGCCTAAAAAACAGCAACAAGTATTATAAAACAGAAACAACAGAAACTAACAAGGAATGCAAAGAAAATTAAGTAAAAACTCTAATAATTGGACATTTTAACACCATTTCAGAACAGGCTATATCTAATTTGACAAAAAATTATGTGGTTACAGAAGACCTAAACAAAAGTATAAATAAAGTAGAGGTAAAGAATCCACCTTACCAATGCAGGAGACTCAAGAGATGCAGGTTTGATTCCTGGGTCAGGAAGATACTATGAAGTAGGAAATGACATGGTGCTGCAGTATTGTGGCCTGGAAAATTCCACATACAGAGGAGGTTGGTAGGCTACAGTCCATGGAGTTGCAAAAGATTTAGATTCAATTGAGCATACATATACAGATCTAATAAATGTAAACACTGAATCCTGATAACAGAGATTAAATCTTCTTCTAAGTCACATGAAAAAGTCACAAAATTGCCATATTATAGTCCACAAAATTTCAATACATTCCAAAAATATAAATGATACAAGTGGCCTTCTGTGATCACAATTCTATATAACTAGCAAATAATGACATTTTAAAAAATCTCTTCCACCTAAAAATGTAAAAACACACTGCTAATCAATCCTTGCATTAAAAGGAAATAATGAAATGAACCTTTGCCCTTAAAAAGCTATTTTGAAAAAGTCAAGAAAATGACTAACCACTAGCTTAATATAAGTCAAAATATAGGGGTGAAGGAAGGTTTGAAGGTATAAATATATAGAATAAAAGGTAATGAAACAATAACCATAAAATCAGAGGAAATATATAAAAATGTATAAACACTACTTTGCACAACTCTATGCAAAGAAAATTGAAAGCCTAAATGAAACCATTTGAAATGGTTAATGTTCCAGAAATATATAATTTACAAAATTTCCCCAGAATTCAATAGCAAGTCTAAATAGAGCAATTTTTATAGACGTTACAGAGAGGGTTGTCAGAGCTCTCACATAAAAACACCACGCCCAGTTGGTTTTACAAGGGGATTTCTATCAAACTTTCAAAGATCAGATAAATCTAATGCTACTTAAACTATTTCAGAGCATGGGAAATAAAAGCAAAATCCCCAAGTTCTAAGAAATGAATATAGCATCAATACCTAAGCTTCAGAAAGATTGAACACAAAGAAAATCATAGAACTGACTTAATTGGTTTCCCTAAAAGCCAGCCTAGAGATGAGGTTCAAGTGCAAGTAACTTGGGAGCCAGAGTGGGGAAGAGAAACAATGAAGGAAGAGAACCGATATTGTGCTGTGTGCTCAGTTGTGTCTGACTGTCTGTGGCCCCATGGACTGTCCATGCTCCTCTGTCCACGGAATTTCCCAGGCAAGAATGTACCACAGGGTAAGGGCATCCTCCCGACCCAGGGAGGCAACTCTGCTTCTCTGAAGTCTCTTGTATTGGCAGGCGGATTCTTTGACCACAAGTGCCACCTGAGAATCCCCAATAACGTGTTCAGTTCAGTTCAGTTCAGTTCAGTCGCTCAGTCGTGTCCGATTCTTTGCGACCCCATGAATCACAGCACGCCAGGCCTCCCTGTCCATCACCAACTCCGGAGTTTACTCAAATTCATGTCCATCGAGTCGGTGATGCCATCCAGCCATCTCATCCTCTGTCGTCCCCCTCTCCTCCTGCCCCCAATCCCTCCCAGCATCAGGGTCTTTTCCAATGAGTCAACTCTTCTCATGAAGTGGCCAAAGTATTGGAGTTTCAGCTTCAGCGTCAGTCCTTCCAATGAACACCCAGGACCAATCTCCTTCAGGATGGACTGGTTGGATCTCCTTGCAGTCCAAGGGACTCCCAAGAGTCTTCTCCAATACCACCGTTCAAAAGCATCAATTCTTTGGTGCTCAGCTTTCTTCACAGTCCAACTCTCACATCCATACATGACCACTGGAAAAACCATAGTCTTGACTAGATGGACTTTTGTTGGCAAAGTAATGTCTCTGCTTTTTAATATGCTATCTAGGTGGGTCATAACTTTCCTTCTAAGGAGTAAGCGTCTTTTAATTTCATGGCTGCAGTCACCATCTGCAGTGATTTTGGAGCCCCCAAAAATAAAGTCAGCCACTGTTTCCACTGTTTCCCCATCTATTTGCCGTGAAGTGATGGGACCAGATGCCATGATCTTAGTTTTCGGAATGTTGAGCTTTAAGCCAACTTTTTCACTCTCCTCTCTCACTTTCATCAAGAGACTTTTTAGTTCCTCTTCACTCTCTGCCGTAAGGGTGGTGTCTATCAAGCAAATTGTGGCTAAGGGCAACTGGAACTTAATTCTGCTGGGGAATTCTCAGTTATGAGTGCGCCTACGTATTTGTCTACTAGCTCATGTCAGTCATTGGTTGAGGGCTGTTCCTATGCGGTGCAAGTTGCCCAGCATTTCCAGCCTGTTCTTTGCTTTCTAGTTAAGTGGGCTCCAGTGGCAAGAGAAAATCTTCAGACAGAGAGTTAAGAATGCTGGTCACTGAAAATTGGGTAGGGCTTTGCTGGTGGTCCAGTGGTTAAGAAGCCTCCTACCAAAGCAGGGGACACAGATTCGATCCCTGGTCTGAGGTACATTCCACATAAGTGTTAGTCGCTCAGTCGTGCCCGACCCTTTGCGACCCCAAGGACTGCAGCCCACCAGGCTCCTCTGTCCATGAGTTTTCCAGGCAAGGATACTGGAGTGGGTTGCCATTTCCTTCTCCAGGGGATCTTCCCAACCTAGGGATCGAACCCAGGTCTCCTGCACTGCAGGCAAATTGTTTACCGACTGAGCTACAAGGGAAGCCCATATTCTACATCCCTCAGGATAATTAAGCCCATGGGCTTCAACTACTAGAGCCCACATGCTCCAACTACTGAGCCCATGGGCT